GTTACGTTATGAAATGTAATGTCATGTCACTTCATGTTATATAAATGCTTGAATTAATGTTATGTAAATATTGCCGATTGGTTGAGGCGTTGGATGAAGAAATATGAAAGTTATGCTGAAGTGAAGTTATGTGTTGTGTGGCTGTTTGTTAACATTTGCGTATGTCTGTGTTTGGAATATAAAAAAAAATTAATTATTCAAATTTGACTATATTTTTCATTATGCACAGAGTTCAAATGTTCATATTATTTGTTGGAAGACCCATTTGAAAAAACAAAATAATTTCTGTGCGCAGTTTCTAGAGCAGAGAGCAAATTGTTCCTAGTATAGCACGACTGCATGGCTTGTATAGATAGCGCCCCTCTTGAAAGAACCTTAGAAGCACTAGCTTTCTCTGTAGATTGTTGAACAGATGGTTTTTTAAACGCTTCTTGAAAACTTGCCGGGTTAAGTTGTTCATTCTTTTAAGTTCTATTGGTGATGCTGACGACACTGAAAATCTTCTATTACCGACGCGCGAAGAGTTGAATCTTGGAAGCACAAGATCTCCATTTTAGGAGGATCTCAGTTTACTTCGGTTCGCAACTTTGGACACTAGTTGAAGTTTTCATCTTAAATAACTCGAAGCATCACTGGTCAGTGAATCTCTGACAAGGAGAACTTATTTGAACAAAACTCTTCCTGGCAGACGAAGCCAGTGTAACTCATCTATGATGCAAGCAGAAATTGAAGAACCGAAGTTTGAGTAGCTATCCTGCGACAAAGTTGGCAGCAGCGTTAAAAGTGGACTGCAAATACCAACGAAGGGATAGTTTGATTCCGTACATTATTGCCTTGCAGTAATGCTATCAACTCCGCTACAAATTAAACAACAATTTATATGATTATTCTTTGAGCAGAAATAGTGATGAATTATCACTATTTAGTAACTACATGCTTGACCCTGGGACATAATTTGTGAAAATCGTAAATAAAATTCTGACATTTTTTTAGTAGAGTTTTAATAGAATGAGTTCGGGCTAGTTATTTATGGAAAAAATTGATTAGATGTCAACAATTATTATCTGTTTATGAAAAGAAAATAACAAGAGCCGGAGAGATTTTTTTGAATAAAAATTTAAAAAAAATTAAATCTAAGAAAACTTTGTTTTATAATTTTTTAATTCACTCCTCTGGGTGTTCCACTGAGCAGACAGACGACGACACAAGAACACCTCCACACCACCAAGGAACACACACACGCACACACGCACACACACACACACTGGTGTGGAAGGTTGCAATGGTATTCAACATTCCTGGCACACTCGGACCAGATCAACTAAAAAGGTGACGTATTTTCGTTTTTAGCAAATAAACAATGGATGGAGTGAGCCTAAAAAACCACGCCAAAATATAAAAATAGCAACTTATGCAACAAAAGTCGGTTAATTAATCAGATGGTTGACTATCTCAAAGTGGTTTTCGTACCAGATAGCAAATAAGATATTTTCTGTCTATTTTTAGTTTTGTAACTTTATAATATAAAATGATGACCTATAAATTTGTTGAAACGACAAATTAATGCTTCAGTAACTAAACAAATACGATGTGGTAAGATGAAGCGACCTGCTGTTGAAGCGACGAAACCAGAGATGAATTGTAACTCGGATGTTTTTGCAAACTCCATGGTAAACTGCTACTCTGGCGAGCAGATAATTCGCTGATCCCTCAAACTTCAAACTGATCAGATCTCGTCCGAGGAAGTTCTTAAGAGGAAAAAATTTAATGCTCTCTCTTTCTAT